AGGATGCTCTGAAACCTGAGGCATTGATGGCAGAACTGAGATGAGCCTATGAGTAGCCTCAGTCTGGAGCAGCCAGACAGGCTGTGAACTTCTGTCGTCAGAACAAACTTATATTCTGTTGTCAGAACAAATGCCAGGACAAACTTGTATAAACATTTACTTAAATGTCAAGTCTAAATTGTCATTAGGTGAACATCTTCAGCTGTTGGTAGGGGGTTTTTTCTGATTAATTCCTAAAGAGCCAGCTTTACATTTCCTATGGAAATGATGGTAAACTGCTTTTGGTGCCAGAGTAAATTTAAAAATCATCATGGGCCTCTGGTGTTACCTGAGATTTGGGGTACCACTGATGTTGGCAGTGAAGCTAAGTGGTCATCACAATTGTTTTGAGATGCTTCTTCAGTTGAAGGGCAAATTTTTTTGTTTTCCTTATATTTCACTGGCGGAATTTTAATTCACAAGTGTTTTTCCCATGAATAAAAACCCCCCCTATTGCTCTGAAGGCAATGTTTGATAAACACCCAGCTCTTTTACTACTGCATGACTTTGAGACTCCTCTGAAGGGTAACTGGCAGCCCCATGGCGAGGGAAAGATACTGGCTCCTCTGACCCACTCCACTTAAACATTGCACCACCTGAGCTTTAAATTCTTATACTACTCTATTGCTAGAGATACCTTAGGGACAGATTCTTTCCTCCAGTGCTCTCATTTGTGTCTCTCCATACTTCCTTCAACACAGTGTCTGTTCCATTCAACCAACCTGCCACTTTGGTCTATGAGAAGCATCTATAAATCTAATAAAATCATTCCTTCTGGTCTGCTCTTAATGCAAATTTGTACACCCATATATAAATTTGATTCTTCTTTGGCATTCATTGGGGTATCTTTTATCATATTTTTAAATCTTTCTTAATGTTGGGGTGGAGGATGCACCTCGGATAGTGCCTGGCAGTCTGTACATTGGCTATGTGTGCCTTGATCTTCTTGTTTGGGTTTCTCTTTACTGGCTACTAAAGTGCATAATTCTCGCTAGATAAAATCAGATGTTTGGCCATCATGACTAGTGTATTTTACCTTGTGGAAAATTATAGTAATAATTAATGGCTAGGTTTTCCTCCAAGCATATGCAAATCTCTTTGCAGTGATTGCAGTGTATTAGAAAACAAATAATTACTGAAGGTTTAACTCTGTCAGCTACAACCATCTGATCCTGGTTCTTCAGGAAAAATAGTTCAGCATATGATTTACATGGATTCCTGGAAGTACTCTCTGTTAGTTGCAGTTTCTTATTTAGATGTGTAAGTCAGCAGAAGGATTTTGAGGCACTGGAGAGGAAACCACTCTGGCTTGCTGGCTTTACTCTCTCTTTGCTAAGGAATGCAGCCAGAGGATGCTGAGCCCTAGGCTCATCCTGCCTTGCACCCCAGCAAAGCAGTCCAGTACTGAACAGGGACTCTTCTTTCAATTTGAGATTTCCATGGGATTCTGAGAGTTTCTTTTTGTAGGTAGATTTCCTGTGTAGGAGCTGCAGAGGAGCCAGTTGCAGAAGAAGAGGGTACTCCTGGTACAGGCATGGAGGAACTAGCTGGAGGTTTGTTGGCAGAGCACCCATGAAGGAAGACATGCCACAGCTGGGTGGGGTGACAGCTCGTCCTCACTACATGCTGACTGCAGTGACTCAGGCTTGCACTCTGC